CATGTCGAGGTTGGCTCCCGAAATTCCAAAAAGACAGCTACAGTCTTGGAGGGCAAGCAAGTTAATTGGGGCTCCGAGTTCTTCTAGCAATTGCCTCACTTACCAGTAGCCATGAATTGCAGTAGACACGCTCGTAGTGCTCAAAGACTCGTAGTTCGAACTCTCCAAGCTATCGAGAAATTGCACAGGCTGGAATAACATTAGACACGGAGTGAGTGCGGAGACGAGTGGAAGTCTGGTGAATCTTCTTTCTAGGAATACGTTTCGATCGTCTCGGCAAGGCGTTACCGAATATGAGAAGGGTGTAGTAGATGTAAGCAACGGGGGCTCCACTAAATGGACACAGCTCGGCAGCCAAACCGAAGTCCGAAAATTACCTTCACGCGAGGCAGGTTCTGCTCTCCGATCCTTACAGTGCTTCCCTACGACGCCAAACGATGCAGATGCCGCTAGCGCGAACATCTCCGCTTGTAGCTGCGTAGACCTGTTGCGGATCCCGCAATGCTGCGACTTCCCGTAGGTGAAACTTCCACTGGATAACAGGTCTCGACTCATGTCGGAGACCACAGTCAGAAGGCTATGCTCAAACTTCGCTCCTTGATTCGTACCGCTCGTTAGATTCATATGACCTCGTAGAACGATTACCACTGGCTCGTCCGAGCTCCTGCTCAATCTCAGGAAAAAGAGAGTCGTGACGATAACGAACACCTCAAAACGGTTCTTCGATAATTGTTGACGTCCAGACTGAGTAGTTTTGAAGGACAGGTATCCCTCGCTTGCGAATGGATCGAAGACGGTTACGGACAGCTGCCTTATTTATAAAATTGAATAACATTGGCTGTCAGTAAATTTACAAAGTTTTGAGTGTAAGTAATCGGAGGCGAACGTTACTTACGACACAATCTAATACGTTAGGATAGCGAACGTAACATTACATACACTTCATAAGCAGCACCTTTGTCACTGTGGTGTGAAGGAATTCAGCGACCGGGATTCATGACTATGATCGTGGTTTCGTTAAGAATTTCCTCATTTTCAAGGCTTTTTTTAAGCCATCCTTTCCAAGAATGGTCTCTTCTCCAAGTCTTTGCGTTCGTGGATGTATGAAGTCGGTTTCAGTTGGAGCTGAGGAAATCGTTTGGGCTCTTGCCAAGGTTTGTCAATTCTTCTCTTGAATTCTAACTCGAAACCGCTTTTTGTTAAGGATGGCGTCGTTTATGCTCTTTCGCCAGACTATAATCTGTTCATCGAAAACAATTCCGGGTCGTGGTTGCAAAGGACGGACATCATCAGAGAGGTGATCCTTAATCTGGAAATTAATTCCAATTCTATTGGGCTGTACCATAATTTCTGGCCGAATTTCGACACTTTCATTTCATTGAGTTTTTTCTTTCCTGGAGAATAACTGATCAACAATATAACCACCATCGCAATCGCTGATATGCATTCATTTGCTAGGCAGCGAATGGATGCATTCCTCTCAGAACGAGTGGAGCTGTGGGATGAAGAGTTCGGAGAGGTCGTTTTTTGGGTGGTTGTATTCAGTGACCCCTTTCTCTCGAAGGTACTGCTTCAGGGCATCGAGAAGGGGATAGTGCGATGAAGTAATGTTAGGGCTATACGATAGATGTGGTATCGCGATCCAGCCAGTTTCCCTCAGAAGGTGGCGAGTTATCTTCGCAATGTAAGGTCGGGCGTTCATCCGGAGGAAGGAGATTTTGAGACGTTTCGAATGGTTCTCTCGCACTGCTGCGGCCAACCTCGGGAGTTATTCCATGGTTATCTTCGCAGTGGTTGTCTATATAAGATGAAGCGGTTCTCAAAGTGGGATACCCGACCAATCCTACAAATGGGGGTAATATTCTCTGACGAAAGAGGTCGGGTTTTGGGTGAGATGGTGGGTTCAGGCTGCGAGATAGCCATAAGGCGTGCCGCGTGTTGTTGTCGTAGTGGACTCATGACTCATCTCCACTGGTGACCGACTAGGGAAAGTCCAGGCTATGCCTGCGCAGAATGAAATTTCTGCAGATGGTCAGGTCTGCTTCTCGGTCATGGTCAGAGATGCATGCCGTTCCCATCGAAACTTCATTCTGCTACAGCCCGTTTCATTCAGACAGCTTGCGGTGGTGCATCGGCTGTGCCCAGGTATCTGCTACAAATCTCAGGTGGTAGCGTCCGGGTGAACTTCCGATTCACAGCGCAATGGATCCTCATCGAAAGTGACTGGGGGCTTAGGATGAGGTCAAACTTTGCAGCTTGTATCGCCTTTGCCGATGCTTTCAAGCCAATAGCCCAGTGCCCGATCAGTAGCAAAGACTGAGGCAAACACAGCGCTGGTCTTGCCTACTGCACTCCTTGCAAGGTTCTTCTTTAAATGATCGTTAAGCATAATCGCCTGCTTTGGTCGTTGATCCATTTCGATCCCTACTTACTTATTCCACTGCCCTTTGACCTTCTGGAACATCCTAGTTTAAGGTACTGATGCCTCCTTCAACATACTAACTTATTTCGTAATGACACTAATTTGACATGAAGAAAATTGATTCTGAAAAAATTCGGCCTAGGAATTATGGATCAACCCAATATTTTGTATACTATATTTTTGCAGTTTAACATTATTTCCTCTTTTCTTTTTTTTTCAGGTAGTCGAATATCAAAAGGCTGCCTTTTTGCGTGGGTTCTCCTCATTCCAAGGAACGTGTGACGGTGTGTATGGGTGGATGGAAGGTCCAAATGCAGTGAGCGGCCTCTTCGAGAAGTATTTATTTCGAAAAGAAGCGTTTACATTGACAAGTCTGGATATTTTAACATGCGTTCTAGGCTACCATCTCGTGAATGGAGCTGGACTGATTCCGAATGGCTGCTGGCAGATAAAGAGAAGAGTGAAGATGGCTGGTTGTACGCAGATTCCATCGATGGGCAGTATTGTGCATCGAAGGAAAAGAAGGTACCACGCTTGTGTTAATTTTCTATACCATGGCCTGATTGTTGAATTTAGAGTAAAGCACGGCGACGTCGTTGGCAGCGACGCTGCAGATTTGAAGGCCAAGGGCCTTGGATTGCCATTGAGGCGCCCTCAATACGGTCGATTGACGTACAGAAGACCAAAGCCGATAGGGTGCGGGATCTATAGCTCTCCATAAATCGTCCTTCATTCAATCCTTTGTAGATACTCGTTTGGGCGGTTACAATGGACGGGCAAGTTTTATTACGGCAAGGCGTCACAAAAGATCATCCTCAAGGAACAACATGGAAACATGTATGTCGCGTTTTTCACTATTTTTAAGGCTGTGGTTGCAGTCGTTGATTGTGTTATTGGAACTGAGTTAGCATCTATGCGCTCGCCGCCAAATGAGCATTTGTAAAGGAGACCGGGCTGATGACCATTTTCCATGCTGTGTCGCTCATTAGCTCCTATATACATGGCGTAGAGTTGATGACGACAGGACATGGAAAGTGGTCATCACATGATGGTGGTATCATCATATGCTAAATCACTCATCTCCTTTAGTAGATGTCATCTCACTCTTCTAGAGATGTTCAGTTGTGCAACTCGCGGCATAGACCCCTGTAGGATTTCCGATCGGTAATGATCATGGAAGGTGACCGCAGCCTTCTTTGTTGAAGCTGGAGTAAATTTCGCATGAAGAGTTGTAGTGATGAGACTGACCGACTTATGACTATGTCAGATAATTGGCGATTTTGCTATTGACTTGATCTCGTGTGCATCTCCGACTTGTGTTTGGGCAGTCACAGTTGATGGTAGATTGCTCCGTCGGGTATGCTATGATCAAACGGACATGGAAGTTGTCGGTGGGTGGGGTTCCTTGAGTTGTTCTCTTCAAGCTCGCTCTTCCACCTTTTTTTGACCTATTTAAAATGTTGAATTATTAAGACTGGTCAGAAGTGGTGTACTCTCCGTTGAGGAGCGTATTCTCTTTTTGCGCTACGGAAGACTTCGTCTTTCTCCTTCCAGCAGACGATCCTCAGCTCATCCTTGTTGATGTGAAACGCCGTGAGTTATTCACTTAATCTCGTCCGAGGCCATTATGTTTGTCATCACCATCCTCGTGCATTTCAGTGAGTTCGAAAATTTGCCTCTCTATTCCGAAAGCAATTTATATCACTGTAGACAGAGAAGGTTACTTATACTACTGTGATGGGTCAAGTATTGTTCAGTTGGAGAAGTACTGTTTGAATGCTGATAAGCCATGGGAAATAGATTTCCGATGTTCTGGAAGAATCTCTGACGGAAACTATGCACAATGTTGTTTCAAATGAGATCTGACCATGTAATTTATTTGCTCCAATTCAATCGATTTTGATCTATATTTGCTTCTGGATGCACTTGAATGAACTATTTCTATTCGTTGTCTCAGCTTGCGAGATTCAATGAGGTCAACATCCCATGCTCGTACTGCAGAAGCTGAAAACCGCTGAAATGGGGACATGCGGAAAAGTGCCCAGTGATCGCGTTAGTTTTCAGAAGATGAGCGCTCCGGTATGCAACTAATAGATAGATCTCCTTTATTTTCGCAACAAACTTACTTTTTCAAAAGTTTGTGTGGTAAGTTCTTCTTTTCTTTTTGTACTGGATAGCACGACGATGCAGTTATTAGTCATGGAGAGCAGCTTAGGAGGGGAGACACCTCGGGGAAAAAGAAAACTGCTCACACTCCCGAGTGCAAGATAGGGCGAGAAATAATGGAAAAGTAGTGTGAACGAGTATGAAAGGGAACCTGTCTGCAGTTCGGACCGACGAGTTTGGAAAATCTAGGAGTTGGTGATCCGAAGGGGTTTTCAGGACAAAACATGGGCGGCGCAAAAGTGACAATTACGGTTTTTGCGTCCCAAGGTTCAGGCAGTGCAACCTGCGAACCTGGACCAAGTCATTTGGGATATATTCGCCAATGGGGTCATAAATCCCTTGGAATAAGTAAGCTGTGCTTGTTCGTTACCACACAAGTCCTCGCGATTTTACAGTATTTGGGCTGTCCCGAGCGGGAGGGTAGGTTCAAGTGAAACCATGAACCCATCGTTGTCATTCTGTCCTTATTTGAAAAACTAGGACGAAAACCCGTCCGCTAGGGTATGTGTGCTGGCCTAACGTGTGCGCGAGACTATTGTATATCAGATTATAGGTTCGCGAGGCTTTAATCTGAAGGTGTGTAGCGGTATGTGATTATACATCGTTAGGCTATACATGTTATTACATTAATGTCATGATAAGGGAGAGGTTCGTGGAGAGGGATCGAGCATGGACAAGCTTGGACCATCACTGCTCATCCTCCCTTCCCCCCGCACCTGCCGTATGCCAGCCTCCTGCGATACCCTCGGGCCACGCCCATGAGTGAAGACGTGGACCCGACATATAGTACCGCAAATTGGGAGTTCCTAATGCAGCTCGGACTTGTTCTGTTTTTGAGAAAACATTACCATTCTTCGGCTAATTTTGAAAAGGTCTAAGATTCTGGTAAGTTTCGGTGTTCTCCCTCATATAGAGGTGCGCACTTGAGTGTGATGTAAGCATCCTTCCACTACATTTAGGTGCACACCTCTGTGCCCCTATGTCAGTTGGTGATGTTGATGGAAATGTGTGCTATCAGCAACACAAGGCGGGTTTTTGGTAGCAATTATCGGTCTTTCGACTTTACTTTTACAGTTTCCATTTCACGTAGTTCTTCTTTCCTCTGGAACATTGAATGGAGCCAATATCAGAGATGTAACGGAAGCAGAAACATATTAAACATAGGAACAGTAACTCGGTTCTCATACCTTTATTTTGTAGCAGAGAACCTCAGAGAAGCAAAAAAGTGTCATGTACTTTTCCATTGCGCTCGAGAAGTCCCATCAATTCTCAAATGACCTCTGTCAGTCATTTTACCACTTGTCCTTATTTGACTCCAATAGTAGCCTTGTTGGTCTGAAAATATGTGTATATCCTGTAAAAAGTTTATCTGTAAAGATATTTGGCAGTGTAAGCCATATCAAGAAATCGGATTTTCTTCAAAAAAAAAAGTTGTGCTGAATATACCTGTAAAATACCAATGATCATTCCGAAAAGACCGATAGCAGACGCAAATATTTCTATGACTATAATTCTTACAAACAGGGATGAATTCGCAGCGTCAGCAAGAGCAGCGCCGGAGCCAATGATGCCTGTTGTTTTGTTGATTATGAAGGAAAATCCAGTGGCGGAAACTTCTAAGGAAGCGACCAGCTTGGTGCACGGAACATACCGACAGCCAAACCACACACCAGATTGCTGAAGCCGACAGTTAGGCCACCTCCGAATATCATATAACCGGCTGCAATGTTTCTAGCAAGAATGGCCACTTGGTCAGGCTGTGACAGGTCAAGGTTCTCACGTTCGAAGTCCTGAAATTCGTCGCTAAGATTGCGTGGAAAGTTCGTATACCATAGCCATTCCTTGCAAGACATGGCGTCGCTGGGGGTCGAGTTATACTTTGCAGTTCGAGTGTGGAGTAGATACATTCGCACGATCGCAGAATTGCATGATCAATAAGTATGTGTCTGTACTTAAACTGCTAATTATGACCCGATTCCTTAGAAGCCACGGTTTCACAATCAGTGAGGTACAGATAATATATTAGATAACATTATATATGTCGTCACGCCACACTGAATATTGATACATCAAGATTCGGGGACGGCTAAAGCAATGTCGGCGCAATGTGGCTCGAGGGGGGCCAGTCGCTGCGCGCGATCTCTGCTCGTCTGCGCCCGGCAGTTAGAGATCCTCAACGCACATGACCCTGGCGGGACACAGAACGGCGCATGCGATGTGAATGTTACGCCCGCGGAAGATACGTTCTTCATCGGCGCACTCGCACGCACGGCCCAGTTTGACAACTGGGGACAACACGCAGGTTGACTCGCTATCGTCCGCGCTGCCCGATATCTGCTCGTCTGCAGCCTGTGATACTGAACCTAGGATGCGGAACTTTGCAGACTTTGGGAAGATGAAAATTGCTATGATACTGGAATTCCTCCTCTCCTGTCTGAGCTTAGTCCCGATTTAGCGAAGAGGAAATGCCTAAACAAAAAAAGCTAGAGATCGCGCGCGTCGACTGGCCCCTCTCGTGCCACATTGCGCCGCAATGTCGTAAAATTCAATTAGGAGACTATTCTATTGATAGATTTCAAGAGAAGTGAATAGGTTGTGTTGAGAGCAGCAGGTGCTGTCAAGAGATCAGATGCCGGTGCTAACTTAGTTGGGGGGGGGACCACGCGGCGGCGCGGCGCTCTGTTCGTCTGCTCCTCCAAGGCTTAGTCCGCCGATGGCGCGTATTTCGAAACTGCCACGTGGCGACGAAATAGTAACTGCCCCTTGGACTAAGCCTTAGAGGAGCAGACGAACAGAGCGCCGCCGCGTGGTCCCCCCCCCCCAACTAAATTAGCAGCCAGATGCCAACTCTGATTGGTACAATGCAACTTACTCCCATCTTTGAGTTGAAGACGAAAGCCATAATGATCCCAAAGATGGCGACTGCTTCACAAAAAATGATAGAAACTAAATTCTTTGTACGAATTCTAGGTGTCTTGACTCCACCACCAAAGATTGATGTGCCAGTTGTGAAAATTCCCCTGAAAACGAATCTGCAACAAGCAGTCTAAAAATGCATGAGGATCTGAGCCTGTATTACGCACTAGGCTGATGTCAGACTTCGCGACCAATCGCTAGTGAATCGCGCGATTTGCTAGCGATTGGTCTCAAAGTCTGACACTTGCTATAAACAAAATCGAATCAGAATGCGAAGTAAACGTTTTTTTACGACCCACTTACCATCCAGCTCCAAGCACAGAGAGTGAGAGGGAGAATCCTATTCCCAAGCCAGCCCACATATTTGGAGACGTACTGGTTAAGAGCCATCCAATATCGTATTTGTGGCCCTGACCAGTAAGCATGTAGTACATCCCTGAAATTTTCCCACTGCTCTTGTTGTTGAAATCCCTACCGACTTAGATTGTAAACACATTTGCTAAAGAAACCTATTTTCCTTACACTAATCTCTACATGGCTGTACCCCTGGTAAATATGCCCTCCAAAAGTCCAGATGGATATACATGACTTCACTTTTGAGTAGAGAGAATCAGCTAATAATCTCACCAATGCCGAGGAAAATAGTTGCAGAAATCGAAGCAACGACTCCTGTTGTTTTCAGCATTGGTCCGGAACACATACTAGAAAATGTTTGAGGATTCAAGGAAGCGATTAAGAGCATAGATAAAAGCGACGGAATACAGTGACACAACTGACGTAGTGTATTTTTTCATCAGAATTGTGATCCTAGGTTGATTCAATTAGAAGTGTAACGTTAATGCAACGATCTCGTTGTCGAATCTTGCAGATCCGTTAGGCCGCGTTCATACTACATTTGGGAGAATAGATGAGGCAATAATGAAAACGATATGTATCGATTGAAAATTATTCGATTAGTAGATTAGGATACTTCTGAAAAGGTTAGCTACGCATCGACTGAAACCGCTTTGATTGATCTGCGTGAAATTCTCCTAAGATGTCGGTCAGACTCTGCGATCAGTCGCTCTTGCAATGTGCACAAGCGACGGGCGATTGGCCCCGCCCACATTGATGCACGTCGCACATCGGTAATCAGATCCGCGGCGGAACTTGCCCTCCGCTTGGGATTTTTCCTTGTTAACTTACGGCAAAGCGACTGCCATCGGCGCGGCGCGATGCAATCGCAGAGTGGCCGATGTCAGACTTTGCGATTGGAGCGATTGTGCACCAATTGCAGGAGCGACGGGAGATTTACACCGCCGACCACCGATAATTCGGCGCCATCAGCTCGTAAATCTCCCGTCGCTCGCAGCTCCCTGCACAATGGTCCAGAGCGATGGATCGCTTGAGCGATCCGTCGCTTCAAAGTGCGAGCGACGGGACATTTACGAGCTGATGGCGCCGAATTATCGTTGGTCGGCCGTGTAAATCTCCCGTCGCTCGCAGCGATGGATCGCTCCGAGTCAAAAATTTGATCTTCTTCTATAGTGGCAGTAAATCTGCCTCCCCCGTCGGTGATAAATACTGCACGTGCTAATTCTATTAAAGCTCGAATAGCAACCTTCAAAAAATATAAATAGCTTCCGAGCGACGGCTAGCAAGTTGGTAAGTTTTCGTGCCGGGAGCCCGCATTCTTGACAAACTGACGTTTGCGCTGAGTATGACTTCGGCGTGAGGCACGTTCATGGTTGCCATGTTGGGCTCCGAGCTAGGGTGATAGCAGCTTCATTGAATATAGGTCGCCTAAACTGGAAAAATTCAAACATATAAAAAATAAACATCCGCGGTAAACAAGCAAGCGTAATTAAAATCATTTAGCGCCTACCGGGAGTTCTTTTTTTGCGATTTTTTCAACTCTTTTATTTCTCGTTCCAAAAGATACTTTCATAACCGTTCCAAAGCTCGCAGACGCTTACGCGATCGTCGCACTCACGTCCCCATTGGAACCGGACGGACAATCACGTATCTAATGCGTTCGAGTCCACCGACTCGACCCGATCAGCAGCGTCATTAGGTAGTGCCCCAACGCATACGGCGCAGTCGTATTTTCGAACGGCTGGCGCATGCCATCGTTTCCAAAAAAAATCCTCGCTTGGGGACGTAGCATCATGATCCATCTTCGGCGATACTAGTGTAACTGAAACCATTTCAGTCTCTTTAGCATTTCCAAAGACTCGCCTCACCTCTCCCCTAGGCTGCCTACACCTCCTTGAACTCGGGGAGTTATTCGTAGGGTGTGTCACTAAACAGAAAGCGTTTTCGCTTTTCCACAACTGAGTTCCCCGTCGCAACTGTTCCGCATGCGAAAGCGCGAACAAGTCGCCGTTCTGTCGATAACCAAACCGCTGTCGTAAGTTCTGGACACAAATACTGTACCATGGAATGCCCCCGCGCCCTCCCCACACTCTGAGGCCATTTGTTCATAGTTTTGGAACCATCGGAATATTCGAATCTGCGAAAAGAAAAAGATACGTATCGACCAGGTGAATTCGCGCACGCGCGAACGCGCGAACGCGGATGCGAAAAGGTTTAGATACGTATCGACGTAGTAAACCACGCCCTATTAGCGTTGCTAGAGGATTTTCGCACCGCCGTTTCGATGCTGCGATCTCCGATTGACTGATCGATAGACACTAATTCCTTTCAAGAGGATTCGCAGATTCCAATGCGCGATTCGAAGCCCCTCCCATTTTGTGGATCGATACGCACTTCATTCATTTCGCATTTGCGCAGATTCGTTCGGTTCGAGCGTCCTCCTCTCGTGGCGCAAACTATGAACAATGCCTAACTGGAAACACCGAACTACGGATACACGAGCACAAAGCAGCAATAAGCTACGATTTGTTCAAATTCATCAATTTTTGATTTCCCTCCATTAACCATGCGGCGCAGTTCCCACGCAATAACGCACCACAAATACGCCATGGGTACATTTACTATCTGCGCGTCTGTGCGCTCCACTTTCTCAGTCATCTTTTCCAGTTCCAACAGATGATGGCCCAGCATTGAGCTCATGGTGCCTCAACTGTACTGCAAATATATTTGTAGTGAATGTTTCCATTATCGTTGATTTTTCTTTGATTCACTCCATAGAAAATGCTCGTATATCGAGATCACGCTACTAGTAAGTGTGTTCTTCAGCCACCCCATCAATTAAGTGTTTTTAAGTACTTTGCAATGCTCATTGCTTGAATGGGTACGCAATTCTGACAGAAACTCGAGCAGATGAAATTTTCTTATAAAATGCGATGTTTTCAAGAGATGTGGAGGGCCAGTGCTAGGCATCGTTCTCACTGCAGCCATTTGTTTGGAACGCTTGGTAGTTCTTCACAACAATTAAGGAACGGAATCGCTTAGATAATAAATATTTCGAGAAACGATTGGTGTTCTCATCATCAATTGACTTCTGTTAAGCAATAAGTAACTGCTCTGGAGAACTTGTAGTAAATAACGCAAAAAATGACCAGTTTTTATATTTTCACGAAACAAAGCAAATTGTGACTTCATACTCCCTTGGAAGCGCTTTTCAAGCGCAGTCGCGACAGAAAAATAGTAACACTCTGTGGTACTGTAAACAGTTTTGGTTTCACATTACATGCAGAATGTGATGTAGTTGCGGACAACAGTTTACCGCGGTTTTTCATGAATTTATCGCACCTAAGCCTTCTTTAGTTGAGGATGTAGCAGCGTCTGACAATCGAGCAATAACATCAAGTGCATAGTCAGGGCATAAATTTCTCGATTGTATCTCATAGGTGATGTATTGTGGCTCATCAACAATGCTTTCCATGATTGCTTTGTGTCATTTCCATGTCCCGTGAAACTGATAATCCTAGTGCTTTCGAAATCGGTAAAACGTTTTTTCATAAATGTTACTCAGAGTGAGTATTTTAGGTTTTGGGCATAACAGATTGCTAATTTAAAGTAATATCGAACGCGTACTGGGAAACAACTAAATTGGATGCGAAAGCTTCTGGGAGAGGTTAGTTTGAAAGCATATCCTCGCTTTTTTCCTTCCTATTCTTATGTTGTTTGTGATAAGGAAGAAGCAGGTTGATATTACAAATAAAGAGACGATAGGGCTAAATAGTTGCCATGTCAGCTGGCCTCAAATAGGTCGAGAACGTACACAATAATTACTGTAAGCATGGTAATTGAGAAATATCTAAGTTTACTGTAAAAGGCAAAGAATTGCTTTCCATGCGAAGAGTAATACGATTGCGGATCCATCAATTAGAGCCGTTAGATTACTAGAATAGGAAAGTAAAAAAAAGGATGACAAGCAGCGGAACAAATAAGTCAGGGAGTTAGTGGGTTTTGCTATAAGTGTAATAGATTTCATGTTTTGTGTTCCTGAGACCTGGGCAGGTTAAAGGTATTGTTTGATGTTGTCTTAGCACTGTTACGAGGCTGTTACGATGTAGCCCCCTTTACTCGGTCAACTTTTCGGGTGTGGTTCACTAGGACAGAAAGCTTTCGCAGCGCGAAACATTGTTCGCTGCGGGAACCTCAGGTCCACTGATGATCAGCGGTGGACCTGAGGTTCCCGCAGCGAAAAATGTTTCGCGCTGCGAAACGCGAAAAAGTCGCTTTCTGTCCTAATGAACCACACCCGACTTTTCGAACAAATCGTCGTCTTCCAGAACCTCAGCAGTTGCACCAAGCTATGAGTCCGTCCACACAGTTTCTTGCAAATGCGGAAAAATGCGGATTGTTTGCATCTGTCTGAGGGCCTGAGTGAACGCCGGTAGTTGTGGAACTGCAAGGTCCTGTAGACGAGTTGTTCGAAACGTCAACCGAATAAGGGAGTTCCAGAATGGACTGTATGGCTAACAACATCAAGCAATAGGAGTGTTTTTTCCTTTTCTTCTACCCGAGCACCACAGCACTCTACCCCCGAGATATCTGTATAGGGAATTCTGCACTTTCACTTTCGGATCTCTGGATCTCTCATCGCTTCAGCTGAATACCAGAAAGTGACCATTTGACGCAGAAAGCTTTTGATTGCTACATCCCCT